TATACAAACCAATTTGAGTCAATTTTGTGCGCAGCGTGGCGAGTAACATCTATTGGCCCGACGAAAGACATCTGAAATGTGAAATGTTGATCGGTCTTTGTCTAAGCGAAAACCAAAACCTGTTGGTCGCGATGCCTTAACGAGCATTGCTTGTTGGGTTGATCCCGGCGAGCAATGTGAATTAAGTCATCGGGATTGACACGAATATGACTATGCTAAGGATCCAATGGATCTAATTGTGTCACCCCTCTTCGTAATGCCTTTAGATCCTTCAGATTGTTAGAACGGGTAGGCATAGCGCCCCTGTCAAAATCATATTATACCCAGACTTACCCCGAACTTAGATACTAGCATAATGCACTTTCTCAGTAGATGATGTGTTAGGCTAGGATTTATGTTGCTATATAGTCTTTTTTATACCTGGCTATTGTCCTTTGATGGATTGGTTGCCCTAGTCAGACATCTTTCTTTTGCATTGTCTTTGTGGTGTGACTGCATGTTTCATATGCATAGAAGTATATTAGGGCATTTTTTCTGCAGAGAGTATTGTCTCTATGTGCACACACGGTACCGCTATGAGGGAGCATGTAATGATTTCTGAAGGGAGCATGCGATGATTTCTGACTCTTTTGCTTGCAGGTGTTATTTAGTTCTCTCACTTATACTCATTATACGTTATATGCATCAGGGTTTTCCCACAAACATTTATTTTCATGCAGAATTGAGTTTTTTTTTCTTTTTTCTATGTACTTTCAAAATATAAGAGTCATGTAGCAAAATAAGATACGGACACGGGTTCCGATGCGTTTGACGCGAGAAACACGTGGAGGGGATCAGGAACTGATGCTCGTGTCTCGTATCTTAATTCTGCATTTTTACATTTATGTATGGAATGAGTACTAGGCACCTATATACGAAGTCCGACCGTTCTTTTTCTTTTATGGGACATGTTGCCGGCTCAGCCGCACGTCCGACCGTTCTTTTTCTTTTATGGGACATGTTGCTGAGCGACCTTTTATTATTTTATTTGATTTATTTCTCTTTTTGTCACACGTGTGCATGTCTGCATTGTCTGGATCATTTTTTTTTGTTTATTTCTGTGGTTGTCTGCGAATCGCAATTAAATATAGACTCATTAAGACTTACATTCCTAATTTTTCTACAACATCCTAAATAAAATATTCAAGATGATTAAATTTTAGTATTAAAATATTCAACACTTTAAAAAAAATGCATTTTTATTTACTACATATACTAATATGGTCTCCACAATACTTAAGGATCGCTCTAGATAACTGCATTCATATTTGTATGTCTTGAGGAGAAGTCTTCGTGCTTCTCCAACCTAACTGGCCCAGCATGTCTTTCACAATAGGTAGTTGTCTAGTGTGTATGGGGTGTAAGAAGGCTCTCTGATTCACACGGAGTGTAGTCCTTTTGTTAGGAGTGCTTCCAGCTTTGTAGCTAACCTCCCCTTCTCTTCTTTTTGAGACATCCTTGCCACTTCGGCAAGTATAAGTTCCACCTCTTGAAGCTCCAGCCAATAATCATAGGATAGAGTTTCGTTCATCTGACCTTAGTGCTACCGAGGTTACCATGGACGACGCAATTCACGGATTGCTGACCGGAGATCTCAGGAAGTGTTGGGTCAACTAAATTCACGACCAGGGAGGCTTAGGGTCATAATAGTTGTGTATGATATGTTTGTGGTACCCCAACCCATTTATCTCTACCTTATAGGATTAATATATATTTCAGTTGTTGAGTCCCTTTGAGCCCTATCGCTCATTGACTTGGTTGATATCACCTTGATGACCTGATGCTGATGAGTTGTCGTCTGTTTGGGACATGACGATTTGTCCTCTGCCCTTATGGCTTGGACATGCTTTGACACGTTAGGATATCCCCATCAAGATGATTTAGGTTATTTGGTGGGCTTCGTATTCCGATGAGCCGCTACCCATTCGGAATGTGAGAGACTCACTCTCTGGTTGATGGCTTAGTGTAAGCTCTGAAGCATCGGACCTTTTTTCCACACGGAATAATCTTTCTTTAAGTACTTATACCCCATATTCATGATAATATAAGTGAAACTCCTTTTATCGAGAGTATTCTTGGGTACTCACCAAGATGTAATTAACCAAGTGGGATACGTCCCCTTGGGAGTGCTCTTGACTCCAGAACAGACACCTACACCTGACTCTCTAATTTTGGGAAGTTTACGTAAATATTTTTTCGCGGATATTGGTTTAAGCCGGTTTCGCCTGATCTTGTTTGGGCGGATATTCCTAACCTATCATTGTGAGGTTTACCGCACGTAAGCTCTCCAAGTTTTATGTTTCTATTGTTTGTCATTTTTTTGTATGTTCGTCTTTTTAGGTTCTTCTCTTCTCCTAGTCATTCATATGCTTTCATATGAACCAGAAGGGAGATTTTTCGGGAAAAAAGAAGTAACCGACGATCGACAGGCTGGCGACTCCTTCTAAAATAAAAGAAAGAAAAACAAACAAAAACACTCGCCAAGCTTGGTCTATTGTGTGTATCCAAGAAGAACTGAATATCTAATCTTTCATTTTCCTGTTTCACGTGTTTTACCAAACCATGGCAAAGATTGACTTGAGAACTTCCCAAGAAACTTATAGTCTCATTAAGCTGGCTTAACCTCACCACATGCGATTAATTTCCAGGTTAAAACCCGGGAATGTCTAGATAGATTGGAAAGGAAACTGGAATGATTGTCAAACCAGGGTTTCTCTGTTTCCAGATTTTAAGACTTTCATTAACTCCGAATGAATCAGCACTATTTGGGTCATTCTAGTTGTTTCTTGTAAGGAAAACTCGAATTACCATTATAACATAAAGATATAACATTACTGAAAATTCATTCCATCAAAGTAGAAAATAAATAGAATATTCTTTTACAGGCGTTTGAGCCCCAAATTTAAAATCATCAAATATTCATAGAAATTTAATTTAAAAATCAGAAAATAGAAAGAGCCGCAAAGATATCAAATCTGTTAAATAGGATTCTCATATGAGTGAATCATTGCGAAGTCAAAAATCTTACCGAGTCACAAGAGCTAGATCACACAAAGCAACCAAACAAGCAACAATGAAGCAAAAACACAGAGAAAAAACAAAGCAACATAAAGAGATGAAACATGCAAAGTGAATACCATGACAAAGGGTAAATCACAAAGAGACGCAACATTTTGCCATTTTACTCGCCAAATTAATATTACATTTTAATCATCTTCGCAACAACATAGAACAAGAAAGAAGCATGTCAAAACTGTTTTTATGGTAAACCTCACTCTTATTTCTTCTTAAAAAATCACTAGTATAACGAGAAAACATGTCGGAGAATTTCTTCCCGGCAGACAAGAGTTAACAAGGTATCCATTAATTCCAAAAAAATGGTTCTAAAAACAAAAACTAGTGCTGTTAGTTAGTAACATAAAGATAGAAAGTTGCATATAAAGCTCATAAAAGAGTATCACTAGTATGATGAGAGGACTTGTCATACATTTTCTTTCCGGTGTTGAACGGGTTTTAAGAAGGCATCCATTAATTCCAAAAAATGGTTCTAAAGGCAAAATCTAGCACCAACTGGTTAGTAACAAAAAGATAGAAAGCTGAATTGTATATACAGCTCCGACGATAGGATCTGCAACCTGGAATGCTAAAATCGTCCATGTTGGATTTATTTTTTGGGTTGTTTGGTTGCATGGTTTAAACTTTGCATTATGTTCACCAAACTACACAAACATATTTAATATTTACCAATACATCTCTTATTGAACATAAAAGAACAAAGCTACAATTCTACTTAGTTCATTAATACATCTCTTATTGAACATAAAAGAACAAAGCTACATTGTGTTCAAGCCAAATATTTGCAATCAAGCCAAATATTGTGTTCATGTTTGGTTCATTAGTTAAAAAATGAGGAAACACAAGTTGCTTAATGAGTCAGACAAGAGCTATTCTCAAATATCAAGTTAGATGGGCACCACTAATTGCACCTATTAAATGGTAGATAAAATTGAATGTTGATGGATTATAAATAAAACCGGTAGGCCTTAGATAAAATGCGTAGAAATTATTCAAAATGATTCACAAAGAATAATCTTAACAACTAAAGCAATATTTAACGAGAACTACTGGCCCACTCGGAGTTCAGGATTCATAACAAATATGTACGATAAGGCCGACGATGACCAATGTCAAAAATATAACAAAATTTATTGCAGAAGAATTTGCATGCTCACCCACCAGCTTAATAAAAGCTTGGGCATCCTCACTCTTATGTTAACTTAAACAGCCAAGTAAATAATAGACTAATATAAGAACGATAGTCATTTTCTTTTAACATTTCACATAATTAGACAAGAAAGGGGAACTTATTTGATGAACTTAGCGCCCCTGAACATAAGGTTCTGATGTTTAAGCGAAACTTAAAACAGTGATGAGAGGAAATATGGGATTCTTCTACATCGAAGAGGCCATGTATGAAATTATTCCACAGTTGCATCTTCTTCCTCAAAATTTCCCATGGTTTCTCATTCTAAATGAAGTTGGTGCCCAATTCTGGTTTCGAGAAGGCAGCTTTGTTCTAATAGGAAAAAGAAATTCTAGAAAAGCTTTAAGAATACGTAAATGCACATGGAAAACAATGAAAAAAAATGCTATTCGTAGAAAAATTCCAGCTTAAGATACAATTGTTAACTGTTTTTAATGCATTATAAACTTGCAGCTCACCCGCAGCCTAATGGTTTCGAAAAACTTCAAGGTAAAGAAAGTTTTACTGGAGAAACACATCCAAGCACAAACTTAAGAGAAAACTTCAAACAACAACACTAATTATCAAATGCACGCTGCCAAACACTTGAAACCTGAAACAACCCGCTAAAAGAGGACCGACTGCGCCATAATGCTCAGTTTCAATCCAGTTCGGACAAAATAAACATTATGATGAGGAAGGGGATGGGATAGTTTACCTTGGAGGGATCGACCTTCTGAAAGTTCTTGACGACGGTGATGACACGATCGATAACCTCAGATTTGTCAAGGAAAGAACCCTTGACTTCCTCCGAGAAGCGACGGCGGAAAAGCTGGGATAAAGAGAATGTCGCCGGAGGTTGAATCGGATATCCGGCTCTCACCCTCAGATGCTTGAGCAAAGCGCTCCTCACCGCCGCCATTAGGTTATGCGCAGAGGTTCTTGGTTCCCCTGCAGAAAGGCCGATCAACAAAAAATATCAGTAATATATTTATTTTATTACTCCTCTTTTTTTTTTTTTTAAGTTGGTTTGTATGAATGTGAATTTAACTTTAAAGATTGTTAACTCTTCGAAAATTGATTCAATTTTTAGCACCGATCATCTAAATAAGTTAGTTAAGTTACGAGTCAAAATTTTGAATTGAATTTTATTTCGAGCAAACCTCAGCTTCGCTTAAAATTGGATATTTAACAGCCTAATGATGATAGGACTGTGAAAATAGCGAATTCAGCTCAAAGATCATTCATTCTCGAAAATTAATTTGAATTTTTACCCGGATCGAAATAAACAAGCAGAGCTCCGAGCCAAAATTTTGTATTGAATTTTTTTTCAAACGGATTTTGAGTCGATCCCTGCTCAACTCAAAATTAAATCATTAATGACTATATTGGTGTTATTAAATATTATGCGAATATTGACATACTTCTATTAAATTTTATAAGATGTTTTCTTATATACCCTCTTAATTTGAAATGTATGAAGTTAACCTAAAAATTCTATAGAGTTGCATCACAACATACTAACATAATATAAATGATATGCAAGTATGTTTCAGTTCATTTATTTTGATTCATGCATGACTAATTTGAGCATATTAATTTATTTTATAGTCGTCACTGTTTTTAATTTTTGTATAACTTATATGCATTATAATTGATATGATTAGATGAATATTAAGCATTATATCAAATGTTAATTTTACTTTGTATATTAAGAAAATGTATGTGCATGAAAAAGATAAAAATACATGAATCATAAACAGGAGCACAAGATATCTGACTTGCATAAAATATGTGTAATAATGTACCTATCTTCTACAATTATGACAATGACATGATGATCAAAACATTTGACATTGAAATGATATGTGGTTGTTGTCATGATTTATATTTGTATAAAATATTTATAGATAAATAATGGCATAAAATTATACATGTTTTCTTATATTTCATTACATTTTAAAGATTTAGGGACTGTTTGAGATAGTTGCAGCAATAATCTGCTGATAAACTGATTAAAAATAATCTGATGATAAGCTAGGTGCGGTGTGGCTATTAAAAATTTTTATTTTTTTGGAAAAGTTAGACCGCTGCCAGAAAGCTGTCACCGCACCTAGATAGGTGCGGTGTGAAAACGTTGCTTTCAGCGTTTTCAAAACGCATTAACTGGCAAAATGCACCCAAGCAGTGTGTGAAAATGTTGCTTTCAGCGTTTTCAAAACGCAAAAGCTGTCAAAATGCACCCAAACAGTTCAGGTGTGTTTTCAAAATGCCACCGCACCAAATAAGCTGCCTCAAACAGACCCTTAATTGCCCTGTGATGTGTTATTTGAATAATAAAAGAAATTATTTTCAAATATATATTGGACAGACTATAATTATATACCTCAACTTTATAGTGGATTACATGGCATTAAATATTTGGGGTGCTCACATTATCACATATATACCACACAATGTTTAGGTATTTACATAACAAACACCTAAACTTTTTTATTTACATAGATGGCACCTTTAATGTCACATCACAAATACCACTATTATTAAAAACATACAATCTCATGCATAAGTTATGATACAAGAATGTTATGAATACAAATATCAAATTCCAGGCATTAGATATGTAAATATATGAGAATTGTGTGGTATATATGCAAATATAATCATGACCAGTTGATAAATCGCTTCTGAGGAAGGAAAATGTCATGAAAGCTGAATGTCACCACAAAATGTATTTCATCGGACACAAATCTTGATAAATTTTAGATAAAAATTTTTGAAGTTGCGCTCGAAAATCGGCAAGTTTATATCCAAATTGAATATCTCAATAATATGGGTGCAACGACACTACAAGTGATTTGATATGAGCTCAAATGAGCCTAAATCAATGTATAATTAGAAAATTCGAAGTATTAATTGAAAGGTCAAGTGATCTTCAAATTTTTCCTGTTTATAATTAAATCAAATGACTCAGCGAGAGGAATCCAACGAATCCAAGATCACATAACCCTAAGATCATTAAGGTGTTAAACGTTATAAAATAAACCTATAATCAATGACATCAGCATGGATCGTTTGATTGAATGTTTTGACATTCAAATTTAAATTTACTAGAATGCGCATCTAAAGAATATCTAAATATGACCACATTTTTAATATGAAGTGGGGTAGAAGTTGAATAAGTTCATACTATCATAGAATGCTCGAAGCCAGCGACCATCAACAATCATTGTTGATCATCACTAATGATTGTTATAGCGAGATAAAAATTTTAAGTTATTATTTCTCGATGTCTGTAGCACAATCAAAACTGCGTAACAATTTATTGTCTAGTTAGAAAGTGTTAAGAAAATTAAGGCGAAGAAAAACACTAACGACACAACTTAGAAGAACACGAAGATTTAACGAGGTTAGGCAAAGATGCCCACGTCCTCGGGAGCAGAGCGGCGAGTTCCTTTTTCAATATTCAGAAAAGATATTACAAAATTCAGGGATACCTCCTGGGGTTACTAACAGACCTATTTATAACCCTAGGAGTAAACCCTAGGCACAATATGTAATTACTACATTACCCTTGTACCATACCGCGGGGTTTTGCCCCCGCACCCCAACCCACGTAACTTCCCAATTTGGACAGATTCTTCAACTCCGCTCCGCTCCGCTTCGATTCAGCGTCTGTCCCTATATGGTACATGAGTCATACCATAACAGAAAGAAAAATATTCATTTATAATAATAGATAATTTTGGTTGGGTCGAGCCCGTGATCATTCTCATTTCAAAACTTTTTGCGTAAATTACTCTGTAAAATATCTTTTAACACTTCATTTATACGAGTACTCATGCCATTCTATAAAATGATATGGCATATACAATGCATAAGCGAGATAAAAAACAATTAAATATGTGGGATGTAAACTATAAGATAATTATAACATCTAATCTATGATAAATAATTGCATGAGTATATAATATAGAGAGCTTGATCTCTCTATCATCCTCTTGTAGTTAACTAGAAACTCTATTGGAAAGTTGAAATTTGACCAAACTTTTAGGCTACGAATAGTTGAATGGGAAAAATATATATTTTCTTCACAAAATAAAAGCTGACTAGATGCCTTTTTGGATGGAGAGCTATGCCAAAACAATAAAAGATTTAGACCTAGCTTAAGAATGATTCGCTGTTTGGGACAGTTATAGTTATTTGAATAAGCTTTTGTAAAGTTGATGCATGAAAAATTGTTGTTCATAAAGTTGTGGTAGCTATTTATATATTTTTATTTTCAAAATATCATACTACGGTTTTCTAAGAGCCCCCACATTTAGGTCACATTTGATGGAAAAATTATTGCATCAAGAGTCTCGATGCAGTTTTACATCATGACTCAAATCAGGGTCTGCCACGTGTACATACATATCCACATTAGTAAAAAAATCAATTTAATGTATGAGTGAGTTTGTCTGTACACGTGACAAATCCTGATTGGTGTCGTAATGCAAAACTGCATCAGGACTCCTGAAGAAATAATTTTTTTCATTTGACGGGGCTTTACCTTTGAGAAAAATTCGTTTATAGTAACGTCTGAAAAAGCTTTGTTCAGACCCTTCGACGGAACGTCAAGGGGTACGAGGGAGTTACATGAGAGTTACAAGGGGGTTATAACCTGTTGTACCTCCCGTGTAACCTCCTGTGTAAATCCCGTGTAACCCCGCTGTAACAATTATACATGCTTGTAACTCCTATGTAACTCTCGTGTACACGCTTGTAACTCTCATGTAACTCCCATGTAACTCCCGTGTACACTATTATGTACGCAGAGATGCATATCCCTTGACGTACGCAAATTTTTTCCCCCTTCGACGGTGACACAGAAGATTGAAGTTTTGAATACACAAGAAATTGGGGAGAAGAACTAAAATCACAGTGACAAATGAGTAACGCGAGACGCAGATAATTTGGCTAAAAATGGCATTGCGGTGGATGCAAAGTTCGGCGACGGTTCTCATCTAAAACAGTTGAGACGCTCCATCTAACGAGGCCTTAGCCGGTCAGATTGCTAAACAGGTTGAGGTATAATAAATGTAAATTTAATTGTCCATTCTATTGGGTTAAAAAATTGAACTTTTCATTGCCACAAAAGTTGAAATTAAGATGAGAAATTGTCCACAAATTTTTTGGTCAAAGATTTGCCACAAGAAAAGGAGTAATCAGTTCCTTCTTAACTTGGATTAACTTTAAGAGGCTTATGTTTTATACTGTTGCATGATTTGAATGATTTGTTTTTCAGACACTTTTATATATCTAACATTTAAATTCTATTTTTTTTTTATATATTTATATCATCTAAGTCTTTCAAATCATATAAAAAAGTTTCACTATTTTAACTTTTTAAAAAGTGAAAAACATTTTTCTAGGCATGAAAAAGATGACATATATGTAAAAATGAAAATTTATAATATAAAGAAATAAAATGATATGATTTGTAAATCTTCTTAGATTAAATTGTAAAAAGAAACATCTCAGTCAAGCTATAATAATGGGAAAAATATTACATCAGGACTCCTAATATAGTGCTACGTTCGGAGTCCAATGAAATGACGCCACATGGAGCTGCCAGAAAAATAAAAAATAAAAATTTTTTAGCGCAGGGGAATATTCCCTCGGTGTTATTCCGCATTATTCAGGTGTTACTGTGGTGATGTTCATGTGTTATTGTATTCTGTGAATATTCACAGTGTTATAATAACACAATAACGCATTAATACCGCCACAATAATACTTGAATAATGTGGAATAACACAAGAGGAATATTCTTCTATGTTACCGGATCGGATCACAGTAAAGTGCGCGCTTTGAGGAATATTCTTCTATGTTACCGGGTCGGATCACATTAAAGTGCGCGCTTCCTTGAAGTCATATGTCTGCATATTAGTGGACTCCGAACGTGACTCTACATTAAGAATCCTGGTGTAATATTTTTCCA